CCCTCCCTACCCCCCTCGTGTCTCTCGTTGACAAGTTACCAGTATCGTTGAACGCCGTGTGAGACTCCCCCCTCAGCTCAACAACCATTCATGGCCTGAGGTACTCTCTTTCCCGCTCGCACCTGTTCCGGTACCGCGTGGCGCTATCAGAGCCAGCAATCTGTACATCACACGACCCCCACATCAATCACAATAGACGAAACTGACGGGGAAGAGAGCAGAAATGAAAGGACGAAGAAGAATTTTGAGTGTTGAACGAACAAGCGGACGGAAAGGGGGAAAGTGGGAAGGAAGGGGAAGGAGAGGGGATCATAGAGATACAGAGGGGAAAGAGAGAGAGAGAGAGAGAGAGAGAGAGAGAGAGAGAGAGAGAGAGAGAGAGAGAGAGAGAGAGAATCTATTTCGAGGCATCACCGCGGAGGGGTCTGGAAGTGGAAGCTAGGAGCGCGCAACTCTGTAGCAGCCTGCCTGGGAGGGAAGTCTCAGGGAAGCACACGTTCTTCAATCTTCACCACACGTGCCCGCCGAACGTGTCTTTCGGCCAGGCCAGGCCTGGGACACACGACCCTGGACCCGGGAACGCGACCAGGCACCAGGCACTAGCAACACACACGCTCTCTGTGTGCCATGGTTCAATCATTGTCCTTTTTAGTTTAGAATAGATAGCAGATAGCACATGAAGGTTGAAGTGTTCGTTATCAACTCGGAATTATTCGGTTGTATTGTTGTTTGGGGGGGGTCAGCAGCAGCTATGGGACATAACATGACAATTCTGTCACGTCATACTGGTATGAACACAGATTATCATGTTGGTCAGTGAACTTTTTATTTTTGCTAAGTGTTTTACCTCGCTTGCAACTGCATAAGGTCATATGAGCGCGCGGGACACACCAAACATTTTCAATTGGTAGGGAATTTTGAATTTTGCCCGGGGCGCTGTCGAAGTCTACTCTTATCGATTTTGGACCACCAAGGAATCTTAAACGGGCGCAACTTGCACACGGGACCTCCAGATTGTTTCACCTCTGTCCGAGAAGGCTAGGTGTAGATCTTTCCTACCAGAAGATCAGGGGTGTGGCTGAAAGACAGCAGTAAGGAGGAGCCAAGGAGTAGCAGTAGAAAGGCTGCAGAAAGAGTCATGAGCCCACAGGAGGGAGCAAAGGAGGTAAGGGTGTGGGGGAAGAAAGTGGAGACGAAAGCAGACGACAGAATATTGCAAGAGAGAAGGGAAGAAGGTGAAAGGAGACAAATTTAGAGAAGGAAATTTTTCCGTCGCTACCCGTATTCGAACCCGGGACCTTTGAATGAGAGGCGAACACCTTAACCTCTAGACCACGAGAGCCCCCTGGTCAGTGACCGATTCCAATGCGGGAAAGGTGAACGGATTGTGGCTTTTAGAAACATCGCACACATCCGCAGATGAAAATTAATTGTTACCGACTGGTTAAATTGGATAAACTGTGGTAAGAGAGGCTAGCTTCGCTTACGCAAAGAAAGTGGTGGTTTGTGACTGGTTCAATTATCGTGATTTCCAGTAATAACAACAGGTGAATGGATTGCGACGCTCGTCCCCATCATTTATCATCATCCGGTGCCTTGCCGACTGACGTGGGAGATCATGGACCTCCACTTCACTCTGTCATGCGTTGCAGCAATGGAGTCTGTTGTTCTTGCTGCTCCTAGCCCTGTCGTCATCTTGTCCAGTATCTTTTCCCTCTGTCGGCCTCTGCCTCTCTTTCCATCAAACTTGCCTGTAGTTAAAATATTCTCCAATGCTTCTTTCCGCATTGTGTGTCCGAAGAAATTTTGCCTGTCGCTTTGTTATATTCGTCATAAGCTGTTTTCTGCAATTTGCTTTAACCAAAACTTCTTCATTTGTTTTTCTAGCTGTCCATGGGATACGTAGCATGCGTCTTATGAACCACGTCATTAAGGGCCGTTAATTTATGGCAATGTGTCCAGGGAATAGACATTCTCCTTGTCGTCTTGGTTAGGCTTTGGGACTGCACATGCTAGTTGATAAAATACGTCGGTTCAGTCAAGTTCGAAGATGATCATCGTGGACATTGTCATTAATCATGAACCGGTAGTGAAAATAAAACTGCAATGGAATAGGGGCGATGTACGTATATATACGTATATGTTTTTATTTTCTGGAGGTTGGGGGGGGGGGGGTGTTCAGTTTCTTTTTTTCCTTTTTTTTTTTTGGTCTTTTTTTTGGGGGGGGGAGGGGGCGTAGGAAGTGGTAGCGTATATATAGGTGGATATCTTGAACAGGTGGTCTCTAGATTATGTTCAGTTTGTACTTCGATTATCCGACTACAACTGGGTATCCGTCAAATTAGGTCAACCCATAAATTAGATCAAACACTTTCTGAAGAAAAAAGTTGTTTCCGTCTTATCATCTTTAAAAGTGTGCACAAAATTTGATGTAGAGCTTTTTTAAAAATGTATTGTTATAATTATGTTACAGAATAGCATGTCTTAAGATAAAAGTTGGTCAAACACTTTTTGATGAAATGTTATTTGTCATATCAATTTTAAAAATTGTTCAAAATTTGGTATAGCGTGGTCTGTTTATTCATTGTAAAGTATCATTCTATCTCTGTAGACAGACAGACAGACAGACAGACAAACAGACAGACAGACAGGCAGGCACGCAGGCAGGCAGGCAGGCAGGCAGGCAGGCATTCAGACAGACAGACAGACAGACAGACAGACAGACAGACAGACAGACAGACAGACAGACAGACAGACAGACAGACAGACAGATAGATAGATAGATAGATAGATAGATAGATAGATAGATAGATAGATAGATAGATAGATAGATAGATAGATACAGTCAATGATATGAGAATCCTGACGAGGAAAAGATCTGTGACTCATTGACTAACGATAGTTACACTTAAGCCTGCTTCGATATAGCGATAGCAAAGAAATCAACAACAATAAATTATTGTAATCTTTTTTAAGCACACCAGGAACAGGTTTAACAGTGTTTATTAACTGACAGGTTCTTCACAAAGAGTGCAGGGTCGGCACTGCTTTTTGGACAAGCTGCAGCTGTTCTGCAACCACCACTTTCGAGCAAGGCACGCGGGAAAGTCTAGGAGAATAGGACCTGCAGCCTGGCGATCTGTACACCACATGAACAACAATAACAATAACAACAACAACAACGACAACAACGACAACAACAACAACAACAACAACAACAACAACAACAACGACAACGACAACGACAACGACAACAACAACAACAACAATAACAACAATAACAACAACAATAACAACAACAACAACAACAACAAATGAATAAATAAGTAAAGATCAAGGGAAAAATCAAGGGAAACTACTCCCACGGCCCCCAAACTCCCCCGTGCAAAGCTGGGTTGCTGTTCTTGTCAAAAGGCGGGAATCGTGCAGGGACGGCGGTCTGGTTAAATCTCTGCAGAATGTCCAGAAGATTCCGAACTGTGCCCGGCATCTGGTCTGACAAGTCGTGGTGCTCGGTCGGGTCAGCTGTGATGTTGAACAACCACACGTTCTTATGACGTGGCACGTGTCCGTCTGCAGAAACAACAAGACATGAGGGAAGTTTACCAACAAGTGGACATGCTAAGACGAAGGGAAAATGTCTCTTTAGGGGATATATATATGGCTCTTTTCGTCTATGCAGACGGTCAATTTAGCTTAGCTTAAGATGTCTAAAGGTTTTCTTCATGCAGCTTCTTTCATGGCTAATTCTTCCTATGTTTGAAGCGCAGATTCTGTCGCAGTGCTGGCATGTCAGTGTAGTAGATCGAAGCTCTATTTAGGGATAGATTTTTTTAATAGGGAGGAGGGAAGGGAGGAAGGAAGGGAGGACGAAAGAGAGTAGGGGGAGAGGAGGAGAGGGCGAGGGAAAATTAATCCAAGGTACTTACCAGAGACGACATCCTCCGTTTGTCCAGGGGGCGCTACCCAGCTCCCGTTGCCTGGGATTCCGGTGATGAGCTTCATGTGGCCCACCCTTATGGCCGCCTTCTTGCTGGTGTCGAAAGTGTCGTTGTAGAGAGGGGCGCCGTGGTTACGAGACAGGGGGTCGATGTTGTGAAGTAAGACTGTGCGTTTGCTGGGAGTTCCTTGACTGTGAAGGAAACACGCACGTCTTGTTGTACTGACTCAAAGACGTGTCATCTCATTCATTCATTCATTCATTCATTCATTCATTCATTCATTCATTCATTCATTCATTTATTCATTCATTCATTCATTCATTCATTCGTTCGTTCGTTCATTCATTCATTTATTCATTCATTCATTCATTCATTCATTCATTCACTCATTCATTTATTCATTCATTCTTTCGTTCGTTCGTTCGTTCATTCAATCATTTTTTTTATTCATTCTTTCTTTCTTTCATTCCTTCCGATCTTTAGGGAGTACAGTACAAGCCCAAAAATTTAGGAACACCAATCAAATCAGACATTTCTTCTAACTGCGAAAACAAGCAAGCGTTTTCAGTATATTGAAATGTCTAACCATATTTTGCACTTTAAAATTCACTCGACCAAAACAAAATGCAAAAGTGCAAATCAACTCAAAATCTGTTGAAAGTCTGTTTGACTAACAATTCTCCATACCTGATGGTGTCCCACTGGTCAACTCCGTCCAAAGGCTTCGTTCCGTTGAGGGAGCCCTGTGCCAGGCCCACCAGCGTGGGGAACCAATCAGAGACGTGGATCAGCTCTCGGTTGACTGTTCCTTTCAGTGGCACCCTCCCGCCGGTGACAAAACCCACACCGCGCAAACCTCCCTCCCAATGAGAGGCCTTCCATCCCCGGAGAGGGTAGTTGTTGCCTCCCTCATAGATTTGGCCGCCGTTGTCTTTGGCAGAAGGGATAACAAAAGACATGTCTTCAATCATTGCCTCGTCCCAGTTACAATTATGGGTATCAAATCTCAAAGAATGGTAAAGAAAATCACCACATTATACAGAAATGTACATATTATGGATTGAGATGGATAATATGTGGCTTTAGTTATGGCTAATGAAAGTAATTCTGGAAGACAAGATTTTGCTACTTTTTGATCATTTAGAACCTTCATCTCCTTTCGTAGAAGTGCGCAGCGTGTGGGGTTCTCTCATGACTTCAGATTTCCTGAATCTTGAAGTTTTATATTATTATGGTTTGGGGTTCCCCCTGAAAATGCTGCTCTCCAACATGGTCTGTCGCAGCGAAACTCTCTTATGTCAAGATATCAATTTCGTAGATCTTCAAAGACATTTTAGGGTGTTTTATGGCCCTTTTTAGTTGTGCCATATAATTTACGTTTCGTCGAAGACAGCTCAAAACAAAACAGTTACCCTTGGATTCTAAAATCAGGCATTCATACGACAGGGCATGTCAACCTCTTCGAAACTGGGTCAGTCTGATCTTAGAAAAACATGCATTCATAAATAGATAAAAACAAAAATAAGTAAATAAAAACGAAAATAACACACAAACATGAAAATAATGTTTTAAAATAATTCTAAAAACCAAAAAGAAACAATTAATATAAAACATAAAGAAAACAAGAAAAACCACTCACCCGTAGAGAAAATAAGAACGGTGTTGTCCCACAGACCTTTGTCCTTGAGCGCCTGGGTGAGATTGCCCACACCTTCGTCCATGGCGGACACCATACCTAAGGGGGGGGGGTTGAGAAAAGGTGTTGTAACTGTCGGTGTCAATGTAAAAGGAACAATGAGGGAGAGAAGAAGGTTGGAAGATGATTGTCTGATTATTTACTTACTAGAGTCCATTTAGTTTCAGAGGAGCATCAACTCGGATATCACGAAAAGTAAGAACAAATGAGTCAAAGTCTACAATGTCGTACATAATCTGAAAACGAAGCAATAATTATTTCGCATCCTGCACAAGTGAAGTAAAAGTTAAACAGACTTACAAAGATAAGCAAAAGGTCTCGGATGAAAACCAATAGAACAGTGGTACTTTCCAGATACCAAAAATCCAGAAAATATCCGTTCAAAACATCAAATTATGTCAATTACTACATAAAGCTATGAAGCAGTTTTACTTTTTACGAAATATCATACACTTCAGATTCGAAAATAAATATTTCCTCGTAGACATTAATGACATGCAGGTGCAAAAAGTGAAAGACGTTGGAAACAAAACACATTAAAAAAAAAAAAAGAGGTGAAACAAAGAATTAGATACAGGTGTTGTAAATAAGTGAAAAAGGTATTGTACGTAGTGGTTTTCCAGAAGGAAAAAAATGGGAATATTTTTATAAATTTCCAAAGAGTTCTCGTGAACAAACCTGCGTATGTTCTTCGGTTGTCGTCCTGGATGTGTCTGTACTGTCTCTCATATTTCTCCGGCACCTGTAGCGGGCCGTGGACAGACTGGTAGGCCAGGTACAGGAACAGGGGCTGGGGCGTGCGGGGAGACAATGTTCATACAAAAAATGGGCATTAATGTAAGAAAATAAAAGGTAGGCTCTAAAAATCTGTTCGCTAAATGCAAGCAAGACATGTATGTATATACATATAAATATAGTCGAACCTGCCATAACAGCCACATGTATAATATGGCCACCTGTACAAACGGCCACCTGTACAAACGGCCTCTTTACATTTTCCCCTTGCGTTTTTGCTATTGTGTAAAACGGTCACCTGTCAAACGCGGCCACCTTATTTTATCAACCCATGGTCAAATGTACCTGCCTCAGGCGACCAGGTGTGGACACTCATTGCTCGATGCTTTGTCATACATTTTGAATCGGCCCTTCACGCTGTGGACGGGCCGTCATAATTCATTCACCTGTCGTTATTGAATTGTCAGTCCCTCCAATGACTGGTTACCCAAGTTGTCCAATGGGAAGGCCTGACAGTAAATTGGTCGCTTTTAAGGACAAGCAGGCTACCCCAAAAAATGCTGTTTTGAGAAAATCGAAGTTAAAGTTTTTGGATTCTTATTCAGTCTCTTTAAAAAAAACAAGGAGAGTTTCTCTATAACAAAACAAATATACATGCCAATGAAACCAAATTTCTCCTCTTGGAAGGGCAATGCCCACTTTTGGTGTAGGTCAAGATTTCTGGAAACCCTTGAAATCTGGGTTAGCCAGCTTGTCCTTAAAAGCAACCAATTTCCAACAGCTCGTGAGAGAAGCGTCATGACCTATAAGCCCCGCCCACAACTCATGCACACATCGTGTGTGAGTTGAATGGTCACTGTTTTGTTTATCTAATCTGTAACAAAGTAACAACCGACGTTGATGTGAACTTGTGACAGAAGCGTAGCTCGTTCTCCGAGTGGTGGCGACCCGTGTGTTTATTTTTCCATTGTCTCACTCACATATTATTCCGTTTAGTTTACCCTTGCACGAAATCAGCACAAAAAAGAAAGCTAGCCCCCCCAAAAAAAATCAATTTAAAAAATCAACATAACAAAACAACAACAACAGCCCTTCTTACACCACCCACCTCCATTTTTCCAAAGAAAACAAAAACCCTTTTGAATTAGCCTTACGGCAGTCCCACTTCTGAGATCAGCCCCGGCTTGGACGTCAGAAGAGAATGATTTCTTTCTTTACTTTATTTAGTCCGTCTATGACGGTCATACTCGTGTTTTAAGGTTAATTTTTCCTGTAACAAAGGGTGGCCGTTTGTCACAGGTTTGACTGCAGGCCTACATATATTTATTTATCTGCGTGCATGTATAGATGGTGGGTTACCCTAAATGAAAACAGTTAGACTACGTAATGTTCATAGAATGAGACTAAGACATTGTCAGATCAATAACAGTGGCTTATATTTTTTCACCCCTTACCCCTGCCCTCCCCCACACACTGCCCCAAGAATAAAGAAAAGAAAATCTCATTAATGCCGCAACACTTTCCCAGACTTCCAAGTGTCCTTTTCAACTCATGTAATCCCTATCTCCACCCCCCCTCCCCCCCAAACCCAAACAACTCACTTCACTAGAATCATGAGCCTGCACCACATCAATAGCCTTCTCCGTGAAGAGATGAGTAGAGTAATGTCCAGTCTCGTTGTGGACAGGTCCGTTCTGGTCACGGAGATCCAGGTACTTCTTGTGGTCTGTGTAGGCCTTGGTGTGGTTGTAGTAATCCTCGCTGCCTCCCAGGTAGCCTGAACAAGAGGGCAGGGTGGTCAAGAATAATGTCACTTGAAACTCAAACGGTTAGTTGGACAGCAGGCAGGTTATACAGTCATGTAGATTGATTAATGGGGGG